CGGGACCGGGACCGGGACCTGCCGCGGCTCGGGCTCGGGCGCGCGGGCTCCTGGCCTCTGGACCCCCGCTTCCAGGAGCGCGGCCCCAGTCCCTGTCCTGTCGGTGCAAACTGCAAGGGCAGCTAACAGGCAGACGCCTGGGGAGCCCGTCTCTGGCGGGCAAGGGCTCACCCTCTCCGGGTGGCTGTAGAGGCCCCTTTTCCATTTCGGGGAGTACTGACCCGTGGGGAGGCCGTCCCCGCCGGGCTGTGGAGCAGCGCACACTGCTGGCCCCTCTGCGCAGCACGAGCAGGGGCCGAGGGGCCAGAATGGTGACACCCTCAGCGAAGGGCGTGGGCGCTTTTTTGGCTATTAGGTATTTCATCCTGTGGCTTTCCTTCCCCACTCCCAATCAGAATACAGTGCCAAAGTGTTTTAAACCACACTTACCAAATCCCATCAGAGGCGGCAAATATTTTTAAGAAAACCAAATAATATTTTAAAAGATTATTTTGTTTTACTGTTAACTCTAAAAGGTACTTATTCTACTGTCACTAAGGGATGTATACATCAAGGTTAGTGTACAAGCGTCAAGGAGTGTAACGAGAGAGCTTTAAATGGTTTTGTTTGTACAGTGTAAGGGGGAAAATAAATACTGAAACAACTCTCAGCATCCCACTAAAAATGTATGTCTTCTTTGAAGGGGTTAGACAATACACATCTCCACTAACTCAATGGCTGCCCCCAAAAGGGTAACACAACACCTCACTTCTCTGTTAAAGCCAAGCACAGCCACGGTAGCTGATTTACCAGACGGGGGCCATGCGCCAGAAGACAGAGAGCCTGAGAGCGCCAGAAGGGACAGTGGTCAGGCTCTTGACCATCACGCTAAACCAATTTAATCCAGAATATAAATGAGCTATTATGCCTTGCCAATCCTTATCACACAGAAAAAAATGTATTCCTGGTTTAAACAATGAACCATGTCATCTCTCTTCCCTCTCCAGCCTCTGGTTTCCTTCAGCACAATTCTGCCCACGGCTGTGTGTGCAGCCAGGCAGAGCCTGTGAAGAGCTCGGAAGGCACGGAGGGACAGACAGACGGTGGAGACCTCGATTTCTTACGCAAATACAGTAAAATATAAGAACAGGACTCACGGTTACCTACTGTAAAATTTTCAACAAAAATAATCATAAACTGTTGAAGGGTAGAGCTTCTTACAGCAAATCACTCAGAAGTGAGGCTAAAATTGCTGTGAAACATCTGTGCCAGTAAATGTATTACGCACTATTTTGTGAGCTACATAAAGATAAGGGGGGGGTTTCTTTGGAAGAATCTAAGAAACAAGTAGCCTCTGGGGTGCAGAAATGAAAACGGGGGGTGCGAGCCTTCCTTTCTGCACTATGGGTCCTTTCGCAGTGCTTTACCAAGTTCACCTATTACCCGCTCAAATAAGTGACTTGTAAAACTTAGCACCCTTACTGTAAACTTGCCTGTCATTTCTCTTATTAAAAAAAAAAGCAGAATGCGTAACTGTGTAGCTTGGACAAAGCTCTGGTCACCTCTCGTCTCATTCCCAAAGCATCTAGGCTTGCGGGAAACCATGGGGAAAGCGGGCGTCCGGAACCGCTCCGCAGCATGGCCCCAGCACCACCACCCCTCAGGGGCTCCGAAAAATGCTGTCACACAGAAAGTGACCTGGACCACAGCCGGGCAGAGCAGAGCCCACACCTGCCATTAGACAGGGGGCCTTCGTTGTCCTCACCTATAAAGTTAGGGAATTGGATGCCATGTTCTTAAGTAAGAAGTTCTTCCTGGCTCCAAAATGCTGTCAGACTGCGATTCCAACTGCAGCCCCATCAGAATTCCAACCAGGCCGCACAGTCAGCAACTCCCGCACTGCAACTCACAGCCCGCAGCCCGGGCCACTGGACTCCGAGGTCTCCGGACATTTCTAAGTCAGCACCAATGACCAGAACCCCAATTTCTGAGGCAGCGGAGAGCTGCATTTCAGAATCTCCCAAGAGCCTGTTTGGTTTCTTTGTTCTAAGCTCCAGCTGGCAAGGACACTACTCAGATCACCAACCCCCAGGGGCCTCCTGCCAAAGCTTCAGATCCCAATTCTGGGCAGTTTCACTCTCCTTTCGGGCTGACCACAAGAACTGAACACACAAACGAACCTGTAACTGGAAGAAGGCCAAGTAGAAACCCTAATGTAACAGAATAAATAAAGCAAGTGCTCTCCAAATAAAGAAACATCTTAACTCCTTAACATTACCTAGATACACAGGCAGCCACTTAGAATTTACCATTCCTACAGCCATAATAATAATATTCATCCATCCATTCATTCATTCAACAAACATCAGATAAACTAAGTGCTGTGGAAGCAAAAATAGGTCCCTCCTCCTTTCTAGGGGCTCAAGGGGCCGGCTTATAACACTATGTAAATGGTGCGTAAGGGGTGTCACCATGGGGGGCAGGGAGGCTCTGCAGCAGCGGAGACCGGAGACCAGAGACTGAGCCCCCACCTGAAAGATAACCAGGAGAAAGGGGGCAAAGCTGTTTCGGGAAGAAGCACACGCCAGCAGGGCTACTGATGCTGTACGCGGAGCTGGCTTTGACGTGGCTGGAAAGTACATTTGTGGACAAGGGAAGCTGTGCAGGCACCGTCACAACAGGCCCGTGGTGCTGCGGGCTGTCAACCCAACGGGAAAACACCAGGGCGTCTCAGGCAATCAAATGGCACAGTCAGGGCTCCCTGAAGGTGGCTGCGTGGGAACCAGCCAGCAAGTCAAAGTGAAAACCGGGGAGAACAAAGCTGGCTGTTAGGTTTCTGAACTAGGCAACTGAGTGACAAAGCAGGGAGCATCTTACAAGTTCCGTTTAAAACCCTTAATGTAAGGTGCCCGTGGAACCGGCAGCCCGGACACACAGCAGCTGGCAGCTGGACACAGAGGTCGGAAGGTCCAGACCGAGACCTGGAGTAGGCAAGGATTCAGGAGTAACCAACAGGTAGCACTAAGCCCAAGAGAAAAGATCCAGTTACCGAAGGACCAAGCTGACCTGTGGGCTACAGATATTTCAGGGGGGAAAAAGAAGAGCCAGTCTTGAGAAGGCGGAGCCAGCTGGGGTCCAGGAAAAGCGATGGGGCTACAAGACATCATGCACTGTCTGGAGAACACGCTGGAGCGCGGGATGAAAACGGCACCGTAAGAGTAACACTTTCATCCACAGCAGGCCCTCGAAGAACGCCGATTTGTTCAAAGTCGTTTTGTTATAATGCTGATGAGA